GTAGGGGTCACACACCCCAGAGGAGGGCCTGATAGAGCTGGCTTGGCTCTCTTGTCACCAGTGTTAGCTCAGCAGTCCTGCCCCCATTCCTCTGCCTGATCCTGGCATCTCCTCACATCAGGGCCCTTGGTAGCTAGCACAAGGGGCCATGGCTAAGTGGGATGTGGTAGGAGACCCTTGTGAAGTGTCAGAGAGCAGACCTAAGCGTGTCCCAACCCCAGATGACTCCCTTCCCCTGGCTGCTTATCCTGTCCTCACCATCGAAGGGCCATCTTCCTTGCCCCGACCTGCTCCTTTGGGCAGCTGCCCCCCACAGCCCATTCCCGAGGACTCTGGGTTACCTTGGGAGGGGGTGGGATTTCCATCGTTAGAGGTTTTTAAAGACCAGTTTGACAAAGCCCTGTCTGGGATAATTTAGCTGGAGTTGGCCCTGCTTTGAGCAGGAGGTTCATGCAGGTGACCTCTTGAGGTCTCTTCCAACCTTAATCTTCTATGATTCTATCTCACCCCCATCCAGGGCCACCTCTACCTAGAGTTTATTCCCTTGGGCTCTATCCCACCGCACAAAATGGGGCTCCCCATTTCCTCTAGGGGGCAGTTCTCCTGTCCCCTTGGGAGTTGGCTCTCTGGGGGCTGAGCTGTGCCCTGGCTTCTCTGTGGCAGGTGAGCTCACTGCCAAGCGTAGCCTGGACCGGGAGCAGCAGTCAAGCTACCAGCTGCTGGTGATCGTGCAGGATGGAGGGACGCCACCTCGCAGCGTCACGGGCACCGTCTATGTCACCGTGCTGGATGAGAATGATAATGTGCCGGCTTTCCTTCATGTGCAGAGCGGGCGGGAGCTCCTGGTCCAGGTGAGATGAGCAGGAGGCACCTCCACTGCAAGTTTTCAGGGTCCAGAGCCCTCAGAACATACTGGGGGGCCAGTGTTCCCAATGCAGATTATGGGGCTGAGCTCTCGGTGTGGGGAAGAGAGAGCCTTATGCAGATTAGGTAGGGGAAAAGAGTTGGGGGCAGTTGGTGGAGGAGGGAGAAGACTCCTGGTACAGGAGGGAGCTAGTGCCTTAAGTACTCTAAGATGAGTTTGATCGGGCCACGATGACTTGAATAATTCTAATTTATTTAAATATACTCTAACTTACTTTTTCCGTCTTTTGACTTGTGTCCCTTCCCCTTTGTTAATGCTAATTGTATTGAGTATCTGGTCACAGTTAGCATCTTCAGTGAAGACTGAGGCAAAATAGGCATTAGCCACTTAGCTTTCTTGCTGTCATCAATTATTTCCTTTCCTACTTCCTTGAACAAAGGAGCAACACTTCCTTTTGTCTTACTCTTGCTCCTGATACGTTAAAGACACTCTTACTGCCATTCATGTCTTTCGTTAGCTCTCATCCATTTTGTGTCTTAGATGTTATGATGTTGTCGCTACATGCTTGTGCCATGCTTTTGCAGTCTTTGCAGTAAATCCATGTTTCCTCTTGTTTTAGGGTTCCCTTTGGACTTTCAGGGAATTAAAGAGCTCCTGATAGAGCCAGTCTGTCCTCTGGCTATTCTTTCTATCTTTCTTTTGCATCAGGATAGTTTTCAGTTATATCTTTTAATATTACAGTAAACTTCTGATAATCCGGCACCTTTAGGACCCAGGGGGTGCCGGATTATCAAATATGCCAGACTATCGGAAGGGGGGGGGCTATGAGGGGTCTGGGGCGGGGTGGGGGGATGCTACCCCAGACGCCCTCATAGCCCCCCTTCTGATAGTCCGGCTCTGCCCCAGGAGTCCCCGATTCAGCCGCTGCTGGTCAGTTTCAGCAGCGGCTGGAACCGGGG